AGAAGGAAGAGGAGGAGGAGGAGAAAAAGGAAGAAGAGGAGGAGGAAGAGGCAGGAGAGGAGAAGGAAGAAGAGGAGGAGGAGGAGGAGGAGGAGAAAATGGCTGTGCTTTCAAGGGTAACATGGGCTACATAGTGAAGTGGAGGCCAGGCTGAGCAAATAGCAACATTGTGTTTTGGGGGGTTTTGGGTTGGGTGTTTTGTTTGTTTGTTTGTTTGTTTGTTTGTTTGTAAAGCTGAAAGAAGGTGAGTTTAGCTCTAGGTATGAGAACCCTTTCCTGCATCCCCAAGGTTCAAATATCCCTTTTTAAGCCAGTTGCTGCCCTTCTCTGGAAAGGGCCAGTTCCTCAGTGAGAACCCATCTCCTTGGCCAAGCCTCTTGTTGTCCGCATCTCCAACTCGCCCCTTCACCCCATCGCCCCTCCTAGCTCCCTGCTGAGTAGCGTGCAGCAGCCTTCAGCTTGCTCCCCCTCCAGGTCTGCTCCCAGGCCTCCAGGAGGATTCTGTACTGAATGCCCGCTGCTCCTCACGGCCACTAGTCCCTGCAGCTTTCAGCTGCCCCCAGCTCTGCACCGCTGGCCCTGCCTTCCCCACGCTGCCCAACAGCAGCCAAGCCATAGTAACAAAAGACCCAAGGCCGGGGGAAGGAAGGACCCTGCTTCCTTCGTTCCTATAGCACTTCCGGAGCCTTGGCCCCATTCTGGGCACTGTCCTGAGCTCCACATGGTTCACCCAGAGAAACTTCTTAGCAACCTCTGAGTTGGGTTTTACAGGTGAGGGGTGTGGAGTACATGGGTTTGAATAATCAGCTCATGGGCTCAACACCGGGGGGAGGGAGCACCAAAGTCAAACTCCAAAGAGATGATCATTGTTCTTTTGCGGTAGTAAGGATCAAATCCAGAACTTCACCCTTGCTAGCTGGGTAAGTGCTCTACGACTGAGCTACATGCAGGCCCAAATGTGGTGCTGTGTGTGGTCCTAAACTGTAGAGAGCGGAAGTCAAGCCTTGAGGCTCCCTCCACCACCCCTCACTCAGAGGCTCAGTCTGGGTCAGCATGGGGTTCCCACTTCTGCATCTCTCAGGGGGACCCCCAACCTGCTGCCCTGCCCAGCCCCATTTACCTCCTCCCAGATCCTCAGTACCAACTCTGTTCACCTACTGATGGTTTTGGGGCTGGTTTTTTTTTTTTTTTAATCTTTATTTTTGAGAGAAGAATCCTATTTATTTTTTAGGGTGTTCAGGGTCTCACTACTAGATCAGATTCATAACAATTCTTCTGTTTACAGTCTCCCAAGAGCTGGGATTACAGGTACACACCACCACGCCCACTATCAATCGATGTCTTGGTACACCCTGGGTCGGACCAGCATGGCAGGAGGCAGGCCCAAGGATCGAACCCCAGCCCCTGGGCCTGCTTGTAGGCACTTTAATCCACGGAGCTATTTGGCCGGCCCAGACTCAATGTTTGTATCCCTTCCAAAATTTCTAAAGTTCTATATTACTCAGGTTTTCATTACCAAAACAAAATACCTGAGGCAGGATAACTTCATAAAATAGTTTATTTAGTTCTTAGTTGTGCAGGTTCAAAGGCACAGCAGTGACATCAGCTCAGTTCTGGCAACAGCCTTCATGCTGGGCTAGTCCTGTGGTGGCTCGCAGTATCACGTGACAAGGGACCGAGAGCTCATGTGTCTGTCTCTGTGTGGCATTCCTCCCTCCCCTTCTAAAACCACCGGAATTCAATCAGCGGGGCCTCCTCATGACCTAATCTAATCACTTCCCAGAGGCCTCAGCTTTAAACACCATAGTGGAATTAAGTGTCCACTCTTAATTCTGTAAGATTTTATGGATTAAATTCCCTCATGAGTTTGGGGCTGGGGAACAACTATATTCATCCTAATCCTTGGTGTGACATTGCTTCCATTTATGGAGGAAGCTGGGGTTGAGTGGGGTCCTAAGTACAGGGATCATCACGATCTGATAGGATCTCAGTTCTCCTCTCCTCACCACAAAGGCTGTGCCAGCACACGGATGGAGGCTGCCTGACAGGCCAAGAGGAGTGGGCCCAGAATGAAACCTACCTTCCTGGCACTTTGATCTTGGACTTTCAGTCCCTGGCACCTTGAGAAATAGATTTCTCTAAACCACTCACCCCACAGAATTGCATCATGGGAGCACGATTTGCCTACCACAGGGACACAGACCAGGCCCTGCCCTGTGAACCAGACACAAATCAAACTTCCCCCAACACCCTTGGCACCTGAAGGAGGTACAACCCAGGTCGGGCGCCTCCCACCCCTGGAGGTGACAGCAAAGAACGAGGAGCAAGGGGCTGCTGGTAAGGCAGTGAAAAGCTATACAGAGCCTTCTGGGTATGACCCTAAAAGGAGATTCAGGTCCACCGGGCACCATTCTGGTTCAGGACCTCTACTGGCTCTTTGTTGTTTGCTTTGTTGTTTTTATTTTTGAGACAAGGTCTCACTACGTAGCGCAGGCTGGCCTAAACTTGCAAAGATCATTTTGCCTCCGCCTCCCAATTTCTGGAATTAGGGGATGTTCCACCATGCCCAGCCATCCCCTGGCTCTGAGAGAAGGACAGTTGCTGTCCACTGTCCCTAGCTAGCATCTCCTGGCCTCAACCGAGACCAGCAGGTTTGCCCTGACCTGGGCATCCCAAATCAAAGCGTGCAGTCTCCCACGGTCACACCTGTTTCTGTCTGGGCAAGTAAAGCGTGCTGTTGCTGCCTTTGAATCAGTCACTTCCACGTTGAGCTCTTACACGTTCAGGGCCCAAGAGCAGGTGCCCAGGCCTGAGTCTCCCTATGGGGTCAGCAGGCCAGGCCTGATGTTGGAGGCCCAGGATCTGGGGTCTGGGGTTGTGTGGGGCCAGCCAGCCAGGCTGAGCTGGGGATTACTGGACAGAACAGTAGAGCTCAGCAGCTCCAGGGACCAAGCCCAGAGGCAGGATCAGGTTCAGAGATGAGCTGCCAAGGATCCTCCGGAGCTCCTGGCTTGACCACAGATCCACTCCCTCCTGCAGTGCTCAGTACCTCCTTGTGTCGTTTTCCTGCCACCTCAAAGTACTGCTCAAAGCATCTTTGTTTGAAGTTGGTCAGGTAAACCCACAGCCCCGCCTTGGCACTGCTAATTACCCCAGCCAGCCCTCCAGCCCTCTGCCCTTTAAGCCCCCAGGCCCTGGCCCAACCCAGTGCGCAGAGAGGGCACCGGCCTATGAGGGTGAGAGCAGGGGCTGCTGGGGCACAGCAGTGGCAGCTGTTAGGAAACACAATGAAAGAGTGGGGCTGGGGAAGAGGCAAGGGGGCCTGCATCCTGGGATGGGGACTGACTGCACCCTTGGCCACAGGGTGTCATGGTCACCCAGGCCTGGACAGAGAAAAGGGGATAGAGAGTGGGCAACAAGCAGAAAAACAATCCAGGAATTGAGGGCGGATAGAAGGCCATGGTGGTGGGGTGGGGTGGGGTGTTCCTCAGGGCTAGGAGCTCCCCTCTGCTTCCTGCTGGCTCCAGGGATGCCAAGTACTGGGCACTGCTGCCCTTACCCAGCCCAGCACTGAAGACACAATGAAGGGCACTTCCTGCATCTGGGTCCTGCTGCTTCTGCTTGTGCCAGGTGAGTGGGGTGAGGGTCAGGGGTGCTGGCCACAGGGACCTTGGCTCATATTGCCACCTCACCCCTCTCTGGGCCTGGTTCCCCTCCAGCACCCTTCAGCATTTTAACCTCAATCCCGAGTGTTCAAATCCTGTTAACCACAGATCTTGGGCTCTCCAATGTGCTGTCCCTGTACAGAGCCCAAGATTACCACCCTTCACCCTGTACAGAGCTCTGGGGAGGGTTAAATCAAGTGACCAATTTCTCAGAAGCCTGGCCTGAGGTCATTGTGAGGAATGCGTACCACCTCCTTCCTAATCTTTGGCTGCCTCCTTCAGCATATTAGCTGACAGCAGTACCTTCCCTGCTTGCCCCAGCAGGAGCTGCTGGGACACGGGTATCCACAGGTAAGGAAGCCTCAGGACCAGCTCCTCCTGGACCTTGGTGTGGCCTCTCTCCCTATACCTGCCTCCCAGGGCCCTGGTCCTCGACAGCCCATGCTGTCCCCTCACAGCCTGCGGCCAGCCCCGCATGTCCAGCCGGATCGTGGGTGGTCAAGATGCCCAGGACGGAGAGTGGCCGTGGCAGGCGAGCATCCAGCACCGTGGGGTGCACGTGTGTGGGGGATCGCTCATAGCTCCCCAGTGGGTGCTGACGGCAGGGCACTGCTTCCCCAGGTCAGCTCCCACCCAGGGTCCATGGGGACTGCCAGGGAACTGGAGGCCCACAGAGTGGGGTGCAGAGCAGGTGCCCCATCCTCAGTGGCAGTGGCTCTGACTCCTGTTGTGCAGGCAGGTGCTGCTGGGTGAATATCGTGTGCGCTTAGGGGTGCTGCGCCTCGGCCCCACATCGCTTCACACACTCTCTGTGCCTGTGCGGCGGATGCTGCTCTCCCCAGACTACTCAGAGGACACAGCCAGAGGTGACCTGGCCTTGCTGCAGTTGCGCCATCCAGTGACCTTGAGCACCCGCGTGCAGCCTGTCTGCCTGCCCATGCCTGGGTCCCGCCCACACTCTGGCTCACCATGCTGGGTCACTGGCTGGGGCAGCCTCCACCCAGGAGGTAAGGCATGGAGGGCAGGGAATGTGGGCCTTGGGGGAGCCCTCTTCCTCCTTCTCTTCCTCCTCCTTTTCCTCCTCCTCCCTGGGACTAGGAATCCTGGCAAATGGAGCTCAAGGCCAGCTTCTCCCACTGAGCCCTGTTCCACGTCTCATGCTGCCCTGACTCCTCTCCTCCCAGTGCCACTCCCAGAGTGGCAACCCCTTCAAGGAGTCAAGGTGCCACTGCTGGATTCACGCACCTGTGACCACCTCTACCACATGGGCACCAATGTGCCTCAGACAGAGCGCATAGTACTGCCAGGGAACCTATGTGCTGGCTACGTTGAAGGCCACAAGGACGCCTGCCAGGTGGGTTCCCCCCAGCCTCCAGAGTTCACATCCATGTGTCCCACACCCTACTGCCCTAGAACCTGGGACCCAGGTGATACCATCTCCAGGCAGTGTCCTAACCCCCAATCCAGAGACATCAGCCCAGAGGACAGGACCTGGAAAGGCTGGGACCTAAGCTTGCCTTTCTCCTACAGGGTGACTCTGGGGGGCCCCTGACGTGCATGCAGGCTGGGCGTTGGGTCCTGGTAGGTGTGGTGAGCTGGGGCAAGGGCTGTGCTCTGCCGAACCGTCCAGGTGTCTATACCAACGTGGCCAAGTACAGCCCCTGGATTCGGGCTCACCTCAGCCTGTGACACTGGTTCCTTCAGTGATGCTGACCTGGAGTGAACAGCTGGTCCCTCAGCCTCCTGCGTCCTGCTCACATCTTGGCCCTTCAGAGTAGAGCCATCTATCTACCCAATGCCCCCCTTCCCACCTTCTCTCCCACAGGGTTCACAAAACCTGGTGATCTCCCCTGTGTCCCAGGGACTCACACTCCTCCCCTCCTCACGTATATTTACCCTCCTCAGCTCTGGCCAAGGATGGGCATGGGGCACCCAGATGTGAGAAAACTAGTTACTGCCCTCCCTGTCTGGCTTGTGTGCCCCTTGTTTCCTGGAGGAAGTCAAACAGATTTAAGCCATGAGAAGCACTCACCACCAGGGAGCTTCCTCCATTGCTGGCTTTGAAAATGGAGGAGCCATTAACTGTGTGCAGCCCAGGAAGGGACAGGAACCTCAGACCTACAACCAATGGAAGCCAAGTTCTGCCAACACCCTGAAGGATATTAGAAGTAAATTCTTCCCCCGCCTCCACAAAAGACCTCTGCTTGGCCAGTCCCTTCACTTTAGCCTGACAAGGTCATAGGCAGGGAAACCCTGCAAAGCCATCTAGACTCCTGACCTATAGACAAGTGATTTAATAAAATTGTACTGTTTCAGGCTGTTACTTTTATGGCAATTTGTTACATAGTCATGAAAACTAATACTTTTCCCACTGTGACAGAGGTTCCCAGGGGAAAGGTGGGCTGGCCCTAAGCACTCCAAAAAGGTTGAGGACTAATAATCATACCTTTGCGGTCATGACCCAGAAAGGAAGGTAGGGTGTAATAAAACTGGCTGGAAAAATAGGTGTGATCTGTTAATTATAAAAATCCCACACACAGCAAAATAAATCATCAACAGAATGTCAAGACAACCCACAGAATGGGGAAAAAAATTATCAGCTACTCCTCAGACAAAGGACTAATATCTGTAATGCATAAGAAACACACAAAAAATCAGACCCCAGAAAAGTAAAGGTCCAACCCAAAAATGTGCATCGGAAATTAATAAACACTTCTCAGATGAGGTACAAATGACAAATAAATACATGGAAAAATATTCAGTATCACTGGTTAATCATGAAATGCAAATTAAGACAACACCAGAATTCCATCTCACTCCAGACAGAATGGCTGTCATCAAGAAATCAACCAAGCCAGGTGTAGTAGCTCATGCCTGTAATCCCAGCACTCGGGAGACTGAGGCAGGAAGATTGTTGTGATTTCTGAGACCAGCTTGGGCTACAAAGTGACTCAAGGCCAACCTAAACTGCATAGTGAGACCCTGTTACAAAACAGACAGAAAAAAAAAGAAAGAAAGAAAGAAAGAAAGAAAGAAAGAAAGAAAGAAAGAAAGAAAGAAATCAATAACAAATGCTGGAGGTGTTGAGGGGAAAGAGGAAACTTCCACCATTCCTGGGAGTGTAGAAACTGAAACTAGCCAGGCATGGTGGTATATTCCTATAAGCCCAGCACCTGCGAGGCTCAGGCAGGATTGCTGTGAATTTGAGGCCAGCTGCATAGTGAATTCAAGGCCACCCTGGAATACATATTGAGACCCTATCTCAAAACAAAACAAAACAAAACAAAACGGTAAGTCCCCAACTTTTGAATGAATTCCATTCCAGGAGAGTTATTCATAAATCGGATTTGTTCATAAGCTGACAAAGCATCTTACACAGTACACGTGTACACCTGTGAAAATTTACAAGTGAAACGTTAATAACTTGGGAACTTTTTTTTTTTACTTGGGGACTTTCTAAATACTGTGTACCAATAAAATCTATGATGAATGTGATCATTCTGTATGGCAAACATGTACTAATAAAAATTTGCCTTAAAAGCCCAGGTCATGTGCACAGAAGTTCCCACAGCCCTGCATGTGGACTTCTTAGGGACTTGAGCAGGTTAACCACAGGATGGCGGAGACCAGACCTCAGCCTGAGGAGTGGATGGAACAGAAGGGAACAACTACGCTGAGTTTTTGCCACCCTTCCCTCTGGCACGCTGGCCACCCTCACGCTGTAGCACGTGCTGCTTTTCCCACTTTTACTTACCCCAAACTCCATCAGCAGAGCCTATTTCCTTTTCCTACCTTTGATAAAACTTCGCTATTGCTGTCACTTTTCTTGACCAATTCTTCGTTCAGGGCAGAAAGAACCTGGCAACCAACCGCCCCAGGAGACTCCAGTATCCCCAAGTCTGGTAACAGTTGGACTGCAAAAATGACAGCGGTAGGGGTGCCCCTTGCTGTCTCCATTCCCTGCCAGCCTCTCCGTGCACCCTGTCGCTCGGTGGCAGCGTGTGTTGCCCTTCTCCACCCTGGCTGCTGCAGGCGCAGCCCACGTGGGCACAGGGGCTGCTCTGCTGAGCTGGAGGTGCCGGTAGACTACATCATCCTGCACACTGGGCTGGCCCCAGTCTCAAACCCTTTGTTGTGGGACTGACATGTCAAATGACAAGCTGAGAGACAAGACAATGAAGAAAGTCACATGAGGGAGGAGAGAATTCACAAGGCTCCAGACTATTTGGTGATCAAAAATAATACCTAGTTGTAGCTCAGAAAACAGCTAGAGTGTTGACCCTTGAGAGGCTCTATATGCTTTACAGACTTTTTCTAAATTTTTTGCAGACAGGGTCTCAGTATGGAGGTCAGACTGGCTTTGAACTTACTCGATAGCCCAGGCTGGCTTTGAACTAACGGTGATCCTCCTGCCTCAGTCTCCCAAATGCTGGGATTACAGATGTGTGCCACCTGACTACAAACAAAGTGGTATTATTTTCTCTTCTTACAGAGGAGGAACTGGCTTGGATGAGGTTAACTGCCCAAAGTCACAGGATCAACAGCAGAGCGGGGTTCTGAGCCCAGAGCCTACTCAGTCAGTCACTAGCTTGCTGCAGGATCAAGGCGTGCCACAAAGCAAAACTCAGCCAAGAAACAATGGTGAAGAAATGAGGGTGGTTTTTTTGTTTGTTTGTTTCAGGTTTTTTGTTGCTTGTGTGTGTGTGTGTGTGTGTGTGTGTGTGTGTGGTGGAACCGGGGATTGAACTCAGGGCCTTGTAAGCACAAGGGCCTGAGTTCAATCCCCAGACCCGGAAAAAAAAAAACAAAAAAATAGGCTGACCAAAATGTGGAGGTTTTATAGAAAAAGTGAACAAAGCAAGGATTGGCATTTGCATTGCTAAAGGTTTATATAGCTGGCACAAGGTGATCCTGGGCAAATGGTGCCCTAGCTGGTCACTGTCTCAGGCTTGCTCTGTGATGTGCCTCTGGAGTAGTCCTAGTGTCTTCGTGGGGCAGTCCACATCGCACAAGACCACTGCACCCCTGGGGATGAGAGCTGGCCACCTGGTCTCCATCAAGGGGTGAGAATCTCGGAGTCTCTGCTTTTCTTGGAATCAGAGGTATGAGAAATACAAACTTAAAAATTAAATAAACTTACTCAATGGCCTGCAGAAACAACGAGGTGTTTTTGGGCAGCTTGCTTCAAAAAACGTGGCTCAACCATGTAAACATTACTGGGTTTGGGGTTGTTCGCCTCTTCTTCCGGAGCTGGATTCCAGGTTCTTATCTGGAATAAAGAATTGAATGAAACCAGCAAAAAGCAGTGGCAAAGTTTATTTGAGAAAATAAAAGTGAAGGGTGAGAGAGAAATGTTCTACAGGACAAGCTTGAGCTGAATAAAGAAAAAACAGAGGATAAATACAAAAGGAAAAGTACATACTAAAACTGGGAAACAGAACTTGCTGCCTTCATGTGCCTTTTCATGCTGTCTAAACCTGGAGGAAATCCAAGAGAGGCTCTACATTCGGGTCTGGAGAGGTGCTGCTGGGATCTTCCGCCTCAGGCTGAGGTCAGGTCTAGGGAACCTATTAAAAACCTTCTCAAGTTCTGTCAGGAAGTCCACATGCAGACCAAAGCGCCTGCTTAGGCAGAGCTCAGTGACCAGGTTGGATCCCTGGCCCGCTGTGCCGGTCTCGCCCCCTGGGGAATGCTGAGACAGCGATTGAGACTGGGCATGGTGGCGTGGCTGTCATCCCAGTGCTTGGGAGGCTGAAAACAAGAGAATCACTACGAGTCCGATCTATGTAGTGAGACCCTGTACTAAATACAAAAATAAATAAATAAATAATAAATAACTGGACAAGTGAGTATGTGTCTCACAATTTGGGAGCTTGTCTGGGATGGTTATGCCTTGCAGACTGGGTCCCCAGCCAGGAGGGAGAGGACACTGGCCCCGTTTAGGCAGCCCTTTTGGTCTGGGAAGCTCACTCCTTGAAAATGTCAGGTAGCTCTCAAGGTTGTTATAGGACAGACAGTGACACCAACACAGGGGAGAGAAGGCAAGCATGATGATGACAAAGCAACCCCATGCGTGCAAGGTAGGAAAACAGGAGTGTAATAAGTATGTCCTTGGTGAGTGGGTATTTTCCAAGGTTGAGTGTATGTGACAGAAAGGGAGGGTGGAGTTTTGTTTGGTTGTTTGTTTGTTTGTTTGTTTGTTTGTTTCGGAACCAGAGATCGAACATCAGGTCCTTGCACTTGCCAGGCAGCTGCTTATTCTACTGAACTATCTCCCCTGTAGAGTCTTGACCCAAGGCTCTCTATTCTTGGAGGAAAACGGCCAGATTCGCAGGGTGTGCGAGAAACGTCCAGTAGGGGGTGTTGCATGCACAGGGAGATGCAGACGCAGGGACCAGCCAAAAATGAGAAATAAAAATTCTAGGCCAAGGGAATCAAAAAAGGGGGAAAATTGGAATTTCCACTGTAGCAATCTTCCGGATATCCAGATAGTCCTTTAGGGGCCAATGCTGAAAAGTTAGGAAGACAGTTCCCAGACTCAAAAAGAAATAGAAAATGATTAAATACTGCTTTCTTGTTTGTTTGTTTGTTTGTTTGTTTGTTTTGAAATAGGGTATCCCTATGTAGATCAGGCTGGCCCCAAACTAGGGACAACCTTCCCACTTTAACCTCCCAAGTGCTGAGATTCC